CACATAAGACTCCATATTTGAAATAATATTATAGCAGGAAGCTCAGAGGGGCACTCACCCAGCTGGTTTTACACACACACACACACACACACACACACACACACACACACACACACACACACACAAAACCCTTTAAATCATGATTTAATTTGACCCTGTCAGTCATCCTGTTGCAATACTTCCAGTACTTCCAGCTAAAAACTTAAAGCTGAGGCTGACAAGTAAAATAAATTAATTAATCAATTAACAAACAACAACAACAAAACCCCAAAACTTTGATTCAGGGGCTAGAGAAATGGCTCAGCAGCTCCATGTCAGCTCACAGCTGTCTTTCACTCCATCCCCAGGAAATCTGACATTCTCCTCTGGCTCCATGAGTGCTGTACATACACACTACAAAATATACTTGCAGGAAAAAACACCCATACATATCAGCTACAAAACAAAGGGGGAAAGAAAACAAAACAAAGTGAAGCTGATTTAGATGAATACCATTTCTTCCAGGACTTATAGGCTATAAGTGATATTGTGTAGGATATTCAACAGTGGTGTATAACTCCATGCTTCAATAATTAATGTTCTGGAAACCTATGAGTGGGTTTCATGATGTAAAAGATGCTGCTTTTGGTCTAGGGGAATGTCTCAGTGGTTAAGATTGTTTGCTACTCTTGCAGAGGACCAGCATTCAATTCCTAGCACCCATATGGCAGCTCACAACCCTCTATAATTCTATTTTCAGAGGAGTTGACATCCTCTTTGGGGCTTTGCAGGCACCAAGTGCATATTTGGTATACAAACATACATGCAGGCAAACACCCATATACATAAAATAACAATGAATAAATCTTTTAAAATGAATTATATATATATATATATATATGTATATCTATGTATATTCTTATATACATTTATATTTTATACCCTGGAAAACCACTCTTACTTGCCCGAGGGATAGGATTATACCACAAAAGCTTTAATGCTGCATTATTTTTTCCTCATGGGGAAATGTTACTAAATTTCATTTTCTTCCATATGGTTTTACTTCCATATACATGGAGAGGTACACATTCTTCTACAGCTTCTATTTTCTGTGTTTTTCTCTGGTCCAAACTGTGGGCAAGAGTGACTGGTCAGTGCAGTGTTTACCCTGGAACTTAGCCCAGAAAGATTAAAATTTCCTCCAAACAATTCTGTGAACGAAAAGAATTTGGATAACAAAGGACATGAAGAGCAAGTGAAACACCAAAGAGCTCAAAGGACCCCTAATAAGTATTAGGAAGGAGATGTTCCTCAGTGTGGGTGGCACAGTGATGGGGGTTAAAAACATGGCTGCTCAAGCCCAAGGGCTAGATATGGGGACACAGATCTGCAACCCCAGTGATACTGCACCAAGATGGGAGTCAGGCAAAGCAGACTTGGCATGAAACTTGTAGGATCCTGACCTACAGTTCCCAGTAGCAGAAATGATAGACCATGTCCTGTCAGGGTGAATGGTACTGAGGACCCAGACCCTCAGCCAGCCCCCTGCTTTGGCAGCCATGACAGGCCAGAGAAAAGACCCAGCAAAATGTAGGCCCCTCACTCAGCAGGATGTGCTGAGCCCCCTGACCTTGCCCTACCTTGCCCTAATTACTGGGAATAAACTGGCAGATACCCTCCATGTGGTAAGGAACCAATCAGAAGTTAGTTGGCAGGTGTTGGATGTACTTTATTGATAACAGTGGAATGCAGTAGGTAGCAACAGCCCTTGTATGGCCTCCAGGCATAACAACCTTTCTGCAGTTGCAGCTGACCAATCAACTCAGAACAGGTTCCCCCATCCCAGAGTTGTGGCAATCCTGAGACCATTACTATGCAACTAGCAGATCCCCAGACACCCCCCTTGATCTATCTTCAATATATGCCCTACCCCACTGCTGCTCTGGGTTCTTCCTACTTCACCCACTGTGTTGCATGGACAGAGGACCTGAGTTAACTCAAATTAAAAAGACTCTTTGCTTTTGCATCAAATCTGATCTCTTGGCAGTTTTGGGGGTTCAGGGTCTGGGCATAACAGTATCAGGGTAGAAGGTAATAGCCTTCTGACCTCCACATGCATGGCATGAAATGCTCATATTGTGCACGCATGTACACACACACACACACACACACACACACACACACACACACACACTACTAAACCAAAAATACTTTTTAAAGGATTTTGTAAAGATATAAAGACGTAGCTTTACATTCCTTCCTTTCCTTTAACCCAGGACTCTGGCGGCTGAGGCAGGAGTGCAGGTTCAAATCTAACCCAAGCTACCAAGCTACATAGCAAGACCCTGTTTTTGTTTTGTTTTGTTTTGTTTTGTTTGTTTTCTCTGTGTGTAGTCCTGGAACTCACTCTGTGGATCAAGCTGGTCTTGAACTCACAGAGATCCACTTGTCTCTGCCTCCCAAGTGCTTGGATTAAAGACATGCTCCATCACCACCCAGCTAAAACCCTGTTTTGTTTTGGTTTTTAATTTTTAAGATTATATATGAATGAAAGTACACAAAAGCATTCCTACCATGGAGACCCCATTGTCAGAAGTTCCTCCTAGTAAGACTGAGTGTTCCTTGAGGATTCACTGTCCACTGAAATCTGTGCTCTGTGGGATAACTGTGGGCCTGACAGTTGGCATAGACTGATAGTAAGTGCAGGTGCAGTTGATATTTCCTGATAACCAGCCTGGGTCTGCCAGAGGGCCTTGATAACAGCAGACCAGAGATGATGTGGATATATGGACAGTGACCAAATCACCTCAGCAGATGCCAAATGAGTGGCTCTCCTCCTCTGTGACAGGGTTGAAGAGTATATAAGGCTTACCCCTTCCTGGAGTAAACTGAGCTTGTTGTTTCAACTTGTTCGTGATGCCTGTGTCATTAGTATAGAACCTACTATCCCCCACCCCCAAGGAAAACTTGTTGGGATTCTGCAACAGGGCTCTGGAGACTAACTCTACACCAATGTTAGCCAGGAATACACAAACTCACCCATCCTAAGTTCCTCCTATTTACAAGCTATGAAAAACGTCTCACATAGAAGGGTGATGGCTGGAAATCCAGTTTATAAACTATACAAAACATTAGACAGTTCACTTTAATATGCCCACAAACTTTTATCACTAATGTCTTCTTCAGATCCTGTTGGAATCCTCAAGCCTGTAGACCTATGTGAAGGAGATAAGATAATATCTTCAAATAATAACCCTTCAAAATGATCCTGTTTGAAACAGAAACATGAGGGAGCTCCCTCTTTAACCTATGTATCTTCCTGTGAGAAATCATGCAAAAGATTTTCCCCTGGAGCAAAAGAGAAATGGTCCTTGAAAGAGAGAACCTTCTATCTTCCAAGATGCCGGCTTGTCAATGAAGCTTTCTACCCTCTCTCCCTTCCTTCTTTCGCCCCTCTTACTCTACCGCTTCATTCATAGACTGAATAGTCAACAGTGACATGAATCTTCTGGGAGTACACTAGCTATTTCCCATGCTTGTGTTTAATAAGCATGTTCTTGGCTTATCATGGGTAAATCTGAAAACAGTATTAGTTGTGTGTTTCACAGGTGTTGTGTGAATGACCCAGATAAGCCTGTCCCTAGCATCATACTCCAAAGTTCATAAATGCGTCCCTTAGGGATGATGGTGACATGAATCAACTTTGCAATTCATGTCATATAGAAATAAATAGTTTGCTCCCATTTACACACACACACACACACACACACACACACCTGGCAGAGTTTATATGCATAGACTATGACTAACTGGAGTTGTGGGGGGCCTCCAGTCAGGACCCAGAGTATGCAAAAAATCCATGAATGTGTTTGTGTTGAGGGAATTAGGAAAAATTCTTTCTATCTGAGGATTAGACTTTTTCTATCTGAAGGGGAAAATAAAAAAACACAGATGCTTTCTGGTGGTAACTTCATCTTGAAAACAAATCCTCTCTGAAAAATTTCTCTTCACAACTTCCTGATTCACTCTACATCCCTTCTCCTTGCTTTACTCAGCAGCTTCTTTTTAATTAACTCTCCGGGACCTCCACATCACTGTCTCTCTCCACCCTTCCACTGCTCTTCTACAACACCACACCTCCTCTTAAAGACAAACTTTGGACAATTATAAATTACATTTTCAGGGCCCGACCCATTTTAATAACACAAGATAAGTCATGCTTTCTCTTAGGCTGGGGTTGTCATATTGACCAGCCAGTGAGTAACACTTGGCTATTCATGTAGCACTTTCCCAGACAGAAAATGCCATTGGAATTGAAGACTTAACAATAACAACTAATTAGCTGAACCTTGAGTGGTAGGGAGTATGGGCAGAAAGTTCATGTATGTCTACAGGAGTTGCTTCAAGCTCTGACCTCAAACTAGCAAAACACCTGGGAAAATGAGTCCTCATATTTGTCTCTAGGAGCAGCCAGATATTCTTCTCTTGCTTTGAATTTGTTCTGAAGTCTAAAATTAGCTATCCATGTAAAAAGCTGTCTTTGTGTCTGAGTCTCAGTAATATAAAATATCCTAGCATTATTTCTGTTCATCAAAATTATACAGTTAAACAGAAATCATCTTCCTGGCAATACACACCTATATGTGTGCCTAATAAGTCTAAAAAACACCACCAGAAGGCCATGGAAAGAACTCAACAACTGTTCTTATTAAGGAGCTGTAGTAGGGACACTTGAGAAAGTTACAGACAGACATAACCAGTCATTTACAGTCAGGAACCCTACAGCTTTTCCAAATGTTGCTTCCCAACAGGGAACTATACATCTGGTGGGTTGATATGTTCGACACTAGTTGGCACTGCTGTATATTCCCATGGCCTCGTGCAACCAGCAGTTCTTGGCAAAATGCCTTCCTTTTCTCCATGCCTGCTAGTGTTACAATCATTGCTTTTGCTCTTCCATGACCGCATGTGTTCTAATTTGCTTTCTTTTGCTCTGATAAGTGCCACATTTAAAAAAAGACTTGGGGGAAAATGTTTATTTGACTTACACTTAAAGATAACAATAAATCATGGAAGAAACTCAGGGCAAGAAGTCAAGGCAGAAAACAGTAGGAATCATGAAGAAATTCTGCTTGCTGGCTTACTTCCTGGAAGATGCACAGCTAGATATCTTATACAGGTCAAGATGACCTGCCTAGGGATGAAACCTACAACAATGGGCTGGGGCCTACAACAGTAAAGAATCAAAACAAACAAACAAAAAAAACCCCACAATATGCCCATAACCCAAGTCTGATGGGGGTAGGCCTGTCCAGATGACCCCAGAAATCAAGCTGAGAATAAAAGGTAAACAAGACTCTATACAAACATGCAATTTCATCTTTTAAAATGTCACCAGCAAGATATACTGAATTTGTTACTGAATTTGCTATCACTGAATATTTTTATCATACAAATATTGAATAAAGTTATTTATGTAATTTTCGGTATATGCAACCTAAGGAAGGTCTTTCTTCTATTTCTCTAACACACCAAAAGTTTTCTTGGCTGATAAGTGCCCACTAACGTGAGACATCTCCTGCTTTCAAACTCTCTCCTTTGCTCAGATGTCTTGCTCTGAGATTGCACAGTAGTAACAGTTTCTGGTGCTCTAAAATGAAACCTTCTTGGATAGTCTTTGTTGTCAAGGACACTGGCAGGCAGAGGATGGAACACTTTCCTACCTAAGGAACACACGTGAAGAAAAACATGGAGTCACAGGACTCCAGAACAGCAGGAGTCAGTCATGGTCATTAAGTGACTAGGAGTAGTGGGCATGGACAGTCCTTCTAGACCTAACAATGAATATGAGAGTTGAGAGAGGTGGCAGGAGCAAATGCATTAAGATACTTGGCATTTCAGCAAGCCATGCAGTTCTGGAGAAAGCTATCAGAAAGGAGAGCAGGAACCCTCAGTGATGAGTCCATTAGCTTCACAGAGTTGAGCTGCATTCAAAATTCAGGATTCATTTTCCCTGTGAGCCTCAGAGCTCTCTCATAACACTGCAGGGCATCCAGCATGCTCCCTTTCAGTTTGTGGACTAACCCAAGGAGGCCGATGCTCTCCACAAGTTGCACATTCTGGTGAACACGTCTTTCAGCCACTTTTTCCAAAGCTGTAAGAAGTTTCCTCCAGGCAAAGGATGATTCTTCTATCTTTAGACCTTTTAAGTAGTGGGTGATCGCCTTATCTTCTGATTTCTGATGAAATTGTTGGTAACGGCCATATCGCAAATGAATATCCTGCTGTATGTGATGATCAACATTCCTCATGTTCAGTGCCTTCTGGAAATTTGCCTCTGCGTCTTCGTATTGGTGAATTTCTGCCTGCACTTCAGCCATGCAAACATAAGCCATCTCAACTGTAGGCCTCAGTTTCAAAGTCTGTTGAAATGCACGAATGGCCTGTTCTGCCAATTCCTGCAAATTGCCCTGGATTCTGGGCTGCCTGTACCTGGAAATCTTCAGTTGGATAATTTGTTGCCTGTAGCAGAGCCCTATCTGGTAATGCAGGTAGCCAGAGTCAGGTGATGCCTGCAAAGCCCTGTGTAGAAAATGGAGAGCTTTGCCTATGCATCCTTTCCTTCGGTAATACTTGGCTGCATAGCGAAAGACATATGTTTGGCAGGATGTGCTGCTGAGGGCTTCTTCAATGTGTGTTTCTGCTTCAGCTATTTCTCCAACATACTGAAGCTTCAGGGCAAGATAAACTTTAAGATAAGGATCTTCTGGATTTAACCTGACAGCCTTCCTCAGGGGTTCCAGAGAAATATTATTGTCATCAAAGTCTTCACGATAGGCAGCAATGGCATAGCCAGTGTTGTATTCAGGGTTTTCAGGCTCCACTTCCAGAGCCTTTGCAAAGCAGGCCATGGCTCGTCTATAATTCTGTCCTCCACACTTCAGCAAGGCCCAGCCTTCCTCACAGTCCATCTCGGCACAGTCCATCCTATAGCGGAAGGGACTTGCAAATTCCTTGCAAGTCTTCTCTACCTTGTCCAGGTAGGTCTGGGCCTCTGCCATGCTGCCCATGTGGTAATGCACCCAGGCACAGTTGCCCCAGGTCACCAGGCTTCTCTTGTCCAGCTGCTCCCCCTGGATCAAGGCTTCTGCTTCCTTCATGCTCTGCAGGGCTTCCTCATGCTGGCCTTTCAGATGCCTCACATAGGCCAGCAGGTTGTGCATCCCCGCTGGGTTCTTGATATCTAGGAATTCAACCTCCTCTGAGATTCTCATTTCCAAATCAGGTATGTCAAGGTCTTCAATCAGTAGTCTCCATGTGAAGTGACATCTCAGCTGAAGCAGATTCTCCTTCATATGATCACCACCAACATGGTCTCTGTAACAAGGAAGCAGGATGGCTTGTCATGTGAAAAATGAGCAGAAATTGACACCCAGAAAAGCAGGTTTACAACCTCTTTCTATTTTCTGGGAAGTCTGATATTTTGTTCCTTTAGAATTTTTTCATTCTTTTCACATCAATCCCCCTTTCCCATTAATTTGAGCTGTCAGAGACTCCATGTACATGACATGCACACACTTGGACTTACAATCTTAGATGGTAATTTAATCATTTCAGTCAAGACTGGACATGGTCACACAGGTATAGACACACAAACATACATGACAGACTCCTGCCTTGAGGTTTGGGATCCTAAAAACCCATTTCCCATTTCCCAGTGCCTTTGAGATCTATATGTACAATACATGCTACCTGAGCTAACATAAATAGAACCAGTCCATGCTTTAAAAACTTAGTATTGAGAAAAAGTCATTACAGGGTATGTACTTTCATTTTATAAATGAAGAAGGAGCTGGGATGATATTAGAAGTAGGCTAACTCAGAAAAAATGACATGCTCTCTGCCTTGGGAAAACAGCGACATGACTGTTCTCTAGACCCTTTATCTCTGAATGTATTTGGTAGGGGACTTCTTGGGAGTGATCCAACTTCACTGTCGTCTCCTATGGTTACAAGTAATCCCTCCTTTTTACACTCTTATACAAACTTCATGCCTTTCCATGTCTTCCTATAGAGTCCTGACCTGGGGGACAGTCAACGAGGAACCAGGGACACCTAGGAGAGAATGTGGAACAAGGGATTCAAAGAACGGACAGCAAGACAGTATTCTGATGAAGCTGACAAACTTTATTTTCTTAGGGGAGGCTTACATAGCACTGTAGGCAGGACGTGAGCTGTTGCACTTGGCCAAGGTATGGGCACTTACATGTAGGCAAGGTGAAAAAGTCAGGTGGAGGAATGCCCTGGATTGTTCAGCTAATCTATAACTGGCTGTAAAACTGCAGCAGGAGGGATAGCCCTGAGCTGGTTAGCTATTCTTTAACTGACTGTAAAACTGCAAGCCTGTGTCTCAGAATGCTCTGCTGAACATTCTGCTTATTTCTTAAGAGGTAGTAATTTTCTATCTCAGACAGAATGCTCTACTGAACATTCTGCTTATTTTTTAAGAGGTAGTAATTTTATATCTCAGAGACCTGAGGTTGTGAGGAAGGTAATGATCCCTAATAATAGAGCACTAAAAGCACATCCCAAGTGTATATCACTGCATGCCTCAGTATCACACCATACTCATCTGTGAAATGGGAATGACATTTGTATTCCCCATTTCTATTATGTAAGGGGGTTAGTGAGGCTATAAATATAACATGCAATAATATACCATAAATTCCATGGGAGCTTCCTGCACTTCTAGCAGTGTTGAGATCAAGAGGTAGAATTTAGTCTCTCAGGTTTTGTGTAGGTACCCCACAGCAAGCAGCTTTGAATAGTTACAAGGCCAGAAGACAAAAAAGGCCCTTGGTTCTGTTAGTTGTTGTCTGTGCTACAGATACAGAAGCCATGGTGCTTAAATAAGCTGAGTGTGGCTTTGATTTGTTTAGATGCCAAGGAGGTGTGATACCCTGTTAGGTCTTTACCCTCAAAGAGTAGTCTGGCTTGGAGCCCTTAAGGGTAGACAAATAGAAAATGATAGCCATCTAGACATGTCATGAGTCAGCCAGTTGGACTGACTAGTTTGTCTGTCTCCCATGCCTCTATACAGAAAATGTCATAACCAAAGTGCCAGGGACCATTGACAGCCCCCAAACACTTCTGGGTACACTTCTACCATAGGAACTTTGTCTTCTTCCTTTCAGTTAAGTTCACACTTTCAATGCTACAATAAGTCTTCTCTCTAAAACCCCCAGTAATGGTCCATGAACACCAGGTTTGGATGTTGCAAGACAAGATGCAGCATCTTGAACTCAAAGAAACTTTGTGTCACTGACCTATATGCTAAAAGGAAAGTCTCTAAGATGCTCCACTAATAAAAATGATTTTCATATCATACAGTTGTAGTCATTACGAAGTAAAATAATCAACACATATGATGGCAGCATGAGTACCCCTGTCAGAGAGAAAGTCAAAGTTATCACAGTTGATGGGGGTCTCAAAAAGACCCAAGGCAAAACACTGATCGCATGGCTGAGTCCTTCTGCCTAGGCTGCAAAAGGAAAATCCTATGGGCCAGTGGCTTCCACAACAGAACTTTGTTTTCTGAAAATTAGCAAATTATCAATGTCAGATGAAACCTTGTCTCAAGGCATTCTGCAAAAGGGAGACAGAAAAAGAAAAGGAAAGTGATAATTTTTCAGCAAACATAGGAAGTCTCAGAAATTAGAATCTGGAAGCACCTACTTTCAGACAGGGGCTTTTGTGTTAGAGAACTACATATCTTACGAAGGGGATAGATGGATAGATGTTACTTCCACTTTGGACTCTCACAGTCTTTTCATTAGTTTTGAATGCCATTTCTCTAACTAAGACCAGAAGTAGAATTAATCTCCAACTCTTTTGAAAATTTCATTAATATGAGTGACCAAATGTGAGCTGAATAAGGATGACAATAATGAACAGAAAACATACCAGAGCAGAACTGGAAAAGCCCCTGTAGCCTCAAATATACGCCAAGAACAATGAACAAACAATACAGCTGGGAGTTGGAGAGGTGGTATTTGTTCCCCAGGGAAGAGGACAGCCATTGGTTGTCCAATGCCAGATGTTAAACCTTGATCTTACACATACCAAGAAACATTTTACAGAAAGGACATGTTATATTTAGGAATATATGTACACACACACACACATGCGTGTGTGTGTGTGTGTGTGTGTTTATATATACATGCATTCAAACACAATTAATGAAAAAGGAGGCCATGGATTTGAAGCTGTACAGGGAGGGCAGTATGTGAGGGGCCTGAAAAAGGAAAGGAAAGGGAGAAATGTAATTAAGGAAAAGCAAAAACAAATGTTTAAAGCAGTCATAGTGACCAGAAAATAACTTCCTTTTAGGGGCTTTCTCTAAACCTTGTTCTCCATACCCCCTCCCCCCCCTTTTCACATAGCATTTCAATTGTGTGTGTGTGATTCTTGCTAATGCCAAGGCATTGCTTAAGAAGGTCAGATGACAGCTTTAAGCACTGGTCTTCACCTGCAAACCAAGTGGTTTGCAGCCCTTCTGTCAGCAATAGCAACCAGATTGCAATCCTCATGCTGGTCAAGCAAACCTTTTACTCACTGAATCACCTGTCCAGTACTGTTCTAAGTATGCAAGGGAAACACTTGTGATACTTCCTTCTTCCTTTCACATTCCATTTCAGATCTTAAGGAGAGTGTCTTGAGATTGGGGGCCATACAGGAAGCCACATCAATGGCCATGAACCAAGCCAGGTTACAGAGGAACACTGGCAGCCCTTCCTTCCCTAGACTTCAAGTAGTGGACAGAGGATGCTAAAAATGTCCTTGAGGCACCAACCTGGAGAAACAACAGGGCTCTTTGCTCATGCCATCTCAACAGTCATGAGCCTCATGGCCCAGTGTTCCTTGGGCTGATTCCTCTGCTCAATGGTCCATTCTACTTCAAGAGAACTGTTTTGTAATGAAACCTCGTTATTTCTGTTTCTAATCAGATGCCCCTGGACCAATTCATTGATGTTGGACATAAATATTTGCATATTTGAAAAGTGCCCCTGGAATGTTTGGCAGTTGTTCCTGTATTCAGATCTTTACCTATAACATTTGATAAACCAGGATAAAAAGAGATAAGAGCACGAGGCATTTTTGTTTTCTCAATCTTTGACTGTCTGTCTATCTGTCTTTCTCTCCATCTCTCCCTGTCTCTCTCTGTATATTCTTCCTTCTCTCTCCATCTCTTTCAGTTCAGAGCACAAAGATTTTTTTTCCCAAACAATAAGCACTGAGGAAACCAGGGATGATAAACATGCAGTATTGTCTCTTCAATAACAGAAATGTGTGGCTTGATTTTCCACCCAGAAGCTTTGGAATAGAAGCCAGTAATAACTTGGTGATTATGCTATCTGTAGAGCCAGGACATATTAAGCTCCCACAGCAGGACCACAGATGACTATAATCTAGGTGACCTTTCCCTTTTCTGTATGGCCAGAACCTCCCCAAACCTCCCAAAATCAGGTGGGAGGTGGCTAATACCCCATATGGCCTCTATGCTATTTGTATGACTGACACCACACCAGATCCTTTTCTGAATAATTCGTGAATCCTATCTCTACAACCCAGATTCTCAAAAGAAGTGGTATGTACTTAGAGTTCAGATTCAATGTAATTAAGACCCCTTGTATACAGTGGATTGTATTACACCTGGGAACTTTTTGTTCCAAATTGTACTGTGCTTAAGTATGCTTACAACACACTGCTTGAGGTCAGACTCTAGAAGTATGAACAACACTGGCCACCTAAGTATTCAACCAGGTTTTCTTCTTGTCTAATGGAGACAGTTACTCTGCTGGCCATGGCATTTGCAGAGACCCCAACATTTGTCCTTCCTTGATTCTCTGTCTCTCTCTCTCTGAAAGCACCAAATGCATGGGTAATTCTTCCCTTCCCGAGAACTTAGAAATGATGGACAGATTTCTGAAGAAAGATCAATCATGGCCCAGACGCAGAAGATTCAGTCCTGCCTTTCTTTGCTTCCCCTGACTGTAGCAACATAGTCAAGGAAACTATTGCCTACCTCTTTTGGGTAATAAAGCCGTCGGCAGGGCAGCCCAGAGCTCCTGACCACCTGACACCTGCTGTCCATGGAGATCTGCCTTAATTGGGCTCACCAGGCTCATCAGGCTCACCAGGATCCTTCTGGGGAACTATGCTCAAAGGGGGAGACACAGGACCATGTTCATGAGCTCTTGCAGCATCTGAGCAGCCAGCAGCAGGAGCACAGAGGGCAGCCAGACCCCTCTGCACACATGGTTGCTCAGGAAACCTGTCCATTTGCAGAGCTCCAGCCTTCCTCATACTGCAGGCATACCTTTGCACACTACAGTCCTAGCCATCTGCTGGATTGGTGGAACTGGAGACCCAGGCACAGCTTAGTCACTGACCCCAATGCCCAAGACTGTCACCTGACTGGTCTTCCTGCCTTCTGCCCTCTAGTTAACTTGATTTTATAGTTTTGTTTTGGTTTTCTTTTTTTTGTTTTGTTTTGGTTTGGATTTTTGTTCCTTTGTTTTTTTTTTTTTACCATTTTGATCTCTGTTGTCAAAGACCAGTATGACTCAGCCTCCTCCATATACATTTACTATATATGGTTTTATGCTCAAGGACATAAAAATAGTTGCCAAAGTATGGAGACATTCACTGTAGCACTACATCCAAGGGAAAACAACTCTACTGATTGACACTTTAAACCTGAAGAGGAATTTCAAACATAAAAGTCAGGGACATTTGCATAAATAATACTCCCCACCCACCATGCTTAGTGTATCTCTCTGGCATATGTATATATGTGTGTGTTTGAATATACACACACATATATATCTGTGTACATTTAGTTTGGGGAGGGAAAGCCTTAAATATCTCTCTACAAATGTAATAGAATTTTCACGTTAGTGTCTCTTATTGGGGGACAGAAAAAATATGCCCTGTCCATTGCCTATGCATCCAGGGTAGGGTAACAAGGCACCTGGAACAGAAACCTCTCAAGAGGTCTTAGGGTCTGCTGTCTACATTCCAGAACAATGAGGGTCTGGGTGTCAGGAGCTGGATAGGAGGACACCCTTAGCAGAGGCTTGTTTTTTGAGCTATAGTGGTGGGTAGATGCCTTGTCCAATCCAGTAGGTCTCAATGTTAACTGTCTCTCTGTGAGATGAGCATGCTAAAGTCTCCCTGAGATATTTTTAAGTACAGGTATGAGACAGTAATACAAACTAAAGTATCCAGCTCCGTGCCCACATTACTGCCATTAAACAAAATCCCCGGACCCTGCAGACAATCCCATTTCTTCAGCAGAAACAGAAGCCACAGGAGAGATCTAGGGAATGTAAGCAAACTCAGTCCGACCTGACCACACACAAACTGCAGAGCAGGGAAATCCTTACCCCATGGTTGCTCTGAAGGTAGAAGCAGCTGTCTCGGTTTTCACTAGGACAAGGCTCCTCAGAATCCTGCCTGGACTCTCTGCTGTCTTGTCAACTTTCTCACCAACTGGACTCTGAGACAAGGGCTTGGAAACAGCTCTGTGAGCTGTCATGTGCTCTTGCTGTCATCAGTTGGAAACTGAAACTGGAAAGTGAAACTAAATCTTGCTGGCTTCTCAGGAAAACTGAAAACTAACAGAGCTGGATTTCCACCTGTCTCCTCTGAACTGATGGGGAGAAGCCCCTGAAACAGACAGACGTGTGAGTTCTACTGTGCTGTCCAGACAGAGACAACCCTGGCATCAGAAGATGCAGTTAGACCGGGGTTGATGGAGGTGATGTGGACATAAAAGACCCAGACTGGCATCTTCACAACACAATGGCTCCTCAGTCAAAAGAACTGAAGTTGTGCACTCTCTCCTTGCATGTGAGGCTTTACTCATGAGGCACTGGTAGTTTTAGGATTTGATAGGATGGTGCAGGGGAAGATTGGAGATAGAAGAGTCCACTTGCAGGTCAGGTCCCCTGCAGTCTGGAAGTAGTAAATACCAGCTTGCTTGGTGTGGTTATCCTAATGAACTGCTACAAGGTGACATCTTCTAGTTCAGTTCCCTCTGCAGAGCTTGTCAGTCTACCTGAGGCCTTAAAGTTAACCCTTCATTAACTAGGCCAATTTCCCAGACCCTACAGCCATGGAGGCTTGCTCTCTGTTACCTTCTCCTTAGGTGTGTGTTTGTAAAGGGCTCTTGCCACCAGTCCCAGCCTCATAGACAAGAAGCAGGCATGGAATCTGTAAAGAATGTTGTATGCAGTGCCTTGATGCTACCCTATCCTAAAGGCTAAGACCACTATAGGAAACCACAGAAGGTGGGACTCAGATTGCTTTGCAAAAGCCCTGGTTTTGTCTCTCATTTTGGTTTTCCTGGTTAAGCTGCTTTCTCAGTCCTTTGGGTTTCTAGTTCCTCAGCCTGGCCATTGATCCCTATCTCTGCAAATGCAGCTCATCCAGCATACCTCCAATATAAAAGCCATCAACAGGGTCTTCAATATCTACCGCCATCACCTTGATGTAATTGTATCCTCCTGAAGTCCCCCCCCCCGGGGCAGAGAGTTTCAGCCCTAACCTCAGTCAACTGACACCAACAGGAGGAGGGGGCCCTTTGGCCACTTTCCCTGATGGAGGTTAAAGAAGAACCCGGAAGTGGGTGTCAGTGAGGTAGCTAGGAACCTGTCAGTGTTAAAATTCTTTGTATCAGGCCTACCCTCTCCTGGGTTCAGTCTCTAGAATCCACAGTGGAAGGAGAGACCTCAACCCAGAGGGTGCAATGGTTACATTCACATATACGCCATGTTGTATCGGTATCTCCACTCACATTCACAAAAACTCTCATGCCAGTCACATACCTCAAAACCAGACAGCAATAATGCATTTTAAAATGGTAGGGTTTCTAGGACTAAGGTTTATAAAGCTCTTAAGTAAAATTGGTTTTTTCTTTGAGTTATATCTGTCTCTGCTTGAGCCATCTTTGAATGTAAACATCTATGTTGCCCTGTGACAACTGTCTGCACATCCTGATATGAGACAAATGAGGAAACCCGGAGGGCCCACACACAATACCTTTGAACCACACCATAATTGCCCGGCATAACTTCACGTGCACTGAGGTAACAAGGACTCCCTCCAGTCTCCATCCCTACAGACACCCTGTCAGAAGCACGTGGAGCTCAGGCCATGCTCTACTTTCACTGAGCTACTCCATGGCTAGGCTTTTAGGCTGTCTATGGCTGATGGAGACTCCATTTCATAAGCAAGTCTAGAGTATTATGAGGGAGTTGTTACAAACTCTTATCTACTAGGTAGAGCCAAAAAATGCATCACCTGCCAGTAACCACACATCCATCTGACAGTGATGAATGATTTATACCTGGCAAATTTTTTTCATATTCTTAAAAAAATGATAAATGCAGCAGGATCTCCTCAATAAAGAACATCAGCCAATATAATTGAGATGATAAAGTAAGTAGAGGAAATACCTGGTCTTATCTGACCATATTTTCATGCATGGATTCATGGTAGAGAGTCACAGGGAATCGACCAAGTATACCATTCAATAGAATGTTCAGGTGAGTGCTGGAGGCCTTGCACCAGAGAATCTGACACTGTTAACTTGCACCATAGGCTTTTCTAGAGCTTTAGACACAGTGACTGAGCAAGATTTGAATGTGTTTGTGCTTCACAGACTAACAGCCAAATTGAGTTCCTTGTAGAGAAGATGTCCATGCTCCTCAGGACACCCATAACTGTGCCTCACCAAGCTGGTTTACAAACGAAGGTGCTGGTGTTCAAAACTTAAGGACCAGAGGACTGGCAAGACTCCAAGCAGAAATTTAGGCTTCACATCAAGGTACAACTCTATCAGGTGGACTCTTCCAGCTTAATGGGGAGAGTGCATCTGGAGTTCCCTAGTTTTCAGCAAACCATAACCAACAGCTAGAGAGATGGCCCAGTGGTTAAGAGCACTTGACTGCTGTTCCAAAGGTCCTATATTCAATTCCCAACAGCTACATTATGGCTCATGAGCATCTGTATGGCATCTGCTGCCCTCTTGTGGCATGCAAGCATACCTGCAGGCTGAATACTGTATGCAAAATAAATTTTAAAAAACCGTAAGAAAAAAAAAAAAAACCAACCAAAAAGTTGTCAGGCTGCTTTTTACCCTAACCTGAAGTCTCACTCTGAATATGGTGATATAAGCAGACTTCTCCAAGGGTGTCGGTCTCCTGGATTCACTGAAGTTACTGAGTAAACAATTTCTAAGTAAACCTCAGCATCAGCTTTCATATGCTGCTTTCTGTTTATTAACACCCACTGTGTCCTACACCCCATCTATCAATCCGCTCTACTCCTCTCCATCTCCTTAGAGGACGTTAGAGATTTACCCATCATGCCATACTTAGAAACATCCATCCCTGTCTGAGCATAGTTATAACTTTGTACCTTTTCCTGGTATTCTGTCTACTGCCAGTTATTTTCAGAGACCGAAGTCACTGACCCTTCAAAAGAGATAGACACATTTCAAAACTTCCATGCAAGAAGAAGAGGCCAGCTCCCAAACAAACCTCCTCACTTTGGGCCGGTGTGTCAGAAGTCAGTGTCAGGTGTAACGGTGACAGCAGACATGCTGCCTCGTTCATCAGGACTTTCCGCCTGCTCTTTCAAACTCCTGCACACGGTTACCTGCAGGTTCTGCAGCTTCAGTTCAATTTCAGGGAAGGGTGTGGTCCATGAGGTCATTCCAATAAGAGGTGCTTTCTGTCCCTTCTCTTATTGTGACTGGAAATATTGACACTTACTACATGAAATGGTGCTGTTTTTATGTTCTGTATCGTTTAAAAAGTGAAGAGCAGTGGAATAGGATGGTTCGCATTTCTTGGATCCTTAACTGTACAGAGGGAGTGCTGTATGTTGTCTGCTAACACTCTCCTGCTAGTTTATCCCTTGTTTATCACTTAAGCTCCACAGAGTGGTCCTGCAGTGGGTAGAATGCTGCTGTGGGAAACAAAATATTAAGTAGGACAGCTTCTAAAATATCATAGGCTCACATTATGGGTAAAAGGCAATGCTGTGTCCATGCGTGTGAAAGCCAATCATGTATGAGCACAATTGCGTTCAGTTCTTTTATGGAAATGCATTGAGTGTTTTATTTTCAAAAATCACTAGAGTTCATGGAAGCAGAGGAATGAAAGGGATCTTGCCATGTTCCTTTAGTGAGACTTAGGCTCGGGTTCAATGGGGCTCAGGCTGAACTTTCAGAACTTCCTGGATCTCTGTAATAAATAGAACCATGTATGATGCTGGCCAAATGGTGTTAAAGGAGAGAAGAAACAGGTAACTTTATGCAAGGGTATGTGACTACAGGCATTTGTATTTGCTCGTGTGTGTGTGTGTGTGTGTGTGTGTGTGTGTGTGTGTGTGTGTGTGTACACATATGGATAGAAAAGAGAAAAATGGGAATTGGAAGAAACAGAAACAGTATCAGTGTAGGTTGTCGGATTCATCCTCATCATCCAAAGCAACTGCAAGAGACCGACCTTTTGTGAAAGGCTTCTTCACTCTGCTAACCCCAGTATTCCTGAATCATAAGTGAATGATTGCAATAGGCTGGCATTTTAATCCTCGCTACACATTAGGATGATTTAGAGAAAAGTCTAAATCAATTCTGGCCAGGTTCTTGGACAGCCCAACTGCATACATCCCAAAATCTGATTTAAATTGAGGTTTCAAATCATCAATCAATTAAACAAATTGGCATTCTCAGGGGATTGTGATGAGTACCTGGGTTTGAACAAGGGACTCAGTGATCCTAAGCAACCTCTATGAAATTGAACTTGTCAGACTGTTGATCAAGGGTTCGGCTGTGGTACAGTCCATTTCCAGGGTGTGGAGAGGTCCCCAGGTACAGTATCAACTCTACATTGAACCCATTGTTCTTGGTGGCTCTCTAGAGAAGACAATACTCAATGTCTTCCTAATGCCCAAGAAGACATGGGAAAAGATTTATATGACCCTTGCTCTTTTCACAAGAGGTTGCACACAAGTGCTATCACACATATTCTGACATGTGTCCAACATGCAGCGTTAGTGAAGTTGTATGATATACAAAATACCCAGGACTTATTTAAAGCCACCCCTTTTGTTTTAAAATCTGCTATCAGAATCACGGGCAGAGTAGGTGTTAGAGCCCTGGCTACCTATCACCTTTAAAGTAAAGCTAACATCTGGAGGTCAAAACCTCAACCCCAGCTTGATATCATTGTCTGGTACTTTTGTGCCATTAGCAAGGCTGCAGAATTTCCTGTGCCATTTTTGGTAATTACAGTTGAAAGAAAGCATAGCGGTGACTGTGGGTGACCCCATGTTGTTGTCCTGCTAAGGCTACAGCAATCAAGGCACAAAAGAGGCCACTGATTCACATTCACTTACCTGCTTCTCCATCTTTCCTATGGCGTTTCCATTGTAAGGTTATGAAAAGTCGAGTTTGGAGACTTTTGTCCACCACTTTTTCTATACTTCATCATGAAACATGTAGAACAGTTGTAGTGACTAAGTACACACAATCAAATTCGGTAAGAAATAGGGGCCTTAGGAGTTGCAGTCTGATGCTCAACACATAAAGCACAGTGGTTTCCCCCTTAGATTTGCAAATATAATTTTTTTTGCACATTGATTTTGGTGTGTGTGTGTGTGTGTGTGTGTGTGTGTGTGTGTGTGAGTGGGGTATATGTGTGTGCGTGCACGCACTTGAATTTTGTCACCCATGCTTGTCCCTTGCATAGCTATGTAGGGCAGAACACAACTTGGAGAAGATGCATCCATGCAGCTGTGTAAATGAAGAGTCAGGGTAACAATACACAGACAATACTGTGAGGGAGGAAGAAGAACACAAAAATCCAAAAGTCTGATAGAACAGCTGAACAGCAGGAAGGCGGGGGAGGGTGGTGGTGATGGGGGGAGAGAATCATAGGACAGGGGGAAGTACTTCTAAGCTCTGTCAGTGAGGTAAGCTGAAAAAAACACAAGGGTGGAATGCTGGGCAAGACACACAACAGTCACACCTAGGCCCAAGAATTGTGTTATTTAACCTTGAGAGAACCTTAAGTTATGATGAAGCTGAGCCTTTTTTTTTTTTTTTTTTTTTGAGCTAACAGTTTTCCCAAGTGTCAGGCTAATGACCCAAAAGCCCATCCCTAGCAATGTATATCATTGATTTGGGCAGGAGGCTTACAGTAGACAGGTTGGGGCTTGCTGAAAAAGGTCTGATCTGAGGGGGGAAAGGAAATAAACTGCCTCATACATGTGTTCCTCTCATGGCTCTATGTTCAAAAAATAAAAAAATGTTCTTCCCAATAGTTTTCTCTCCAAACCTCTCTAGGATTTCTCCTTAAAACTTCCCTCTAATAATTTTCCTTCTATAGGCTCTCTCTTAAAGTTCTCTTTCAAAAGTTCTTCTTAAAACTCTCCCAGAGTCCTTACTAAAAATTCTCTACAAGCTCGTACTAACCATTCTCTCAGGGGTACCTTCCAAAAGTTCTCCAAAACTTCCTTCTAAATATTTACTAGACATCCCACCCATCCCACAAGGCCTCTAGCTTTCATAGCCATATAGACATTTAAGAATTCTCTGACAATAGGGCATGCATATGTCTCAGCCAGGAAGGCTAATAAGATATTGAGAAAAGCAAGTGTCTCAGGTCTCGTGGGGTAAATGTGACTTGCAACATTTGCTGTTAACTGATTAAAGGGGACTCCTCAGCACTGTATCAAAGAGGAAAACTAAGGCTATGCAGTGTGAGATTTTGAGACTGCAGCTCCTACTGCTGATGCCCCAGTGAAAAGGAATTTCCTTTCTCTGGTGCCTTTTTTGAGAATAAAGTAAAAAGGATATTTTCTATATATAGCCTCACTTGTAGGAACAAGTATTATGGAGTGAATACCTAGAATGTTAGTGCTACTTCTCTAATAAAAGACAATTGCTCACAGCAAATATAATCCCTAAAGGGAAATTGCAGCTGTCAGCTACCAAGGTAGCATCAGTCACCATTACTATCCCATGTATTGTAGAATGTCATATTTTCACAAGCGACTTCCAGCTTTTGTGTGCACAACTTTCCTTCCTGCTTGCTCACTAGACTTCTGTTATGGTTCTGCTATCCCATGCTGTCATGCCCAGTTCCAGGGACCGCATAAAATCCACCATCGATGAGGCGACTCACCAAATGTAAGTACAAAGGTTTCTTTTATTGGCAAGCTGCCTGGATTCTGTACACTCGGGAGCAAACAGAATACAGCTTCCAGCTGAGAGGAGTTGTTAAAGGGAAAGTTCAAAAGACTGAAAGTCTTGAGACTACAAAGCTTCCATGGTTACAGAGGATGAAACAAGGAGTGTATGTTCAGGCAGGATATTGTATGAGAAATAAGTTTGTTAATTATCTCTCGGGCCAGGAATTATTTCACACCAGTTAGTTCATGGCTTTCTGGTCTTCTTTAGAACAGAGAAATGTTGACACAGCTAGGGTGTGTTATCTGGTCTCAGGCCTGTAGTCATGTATCCAGTTCTTTGTTCAGCATTATCTGCAGCCTTAAGGAAGCTAGGGGAGCATATATATATATATATATATATATATATATATATATATATATATATATATATATGTTTGGTTTTGTTTGTTTGTTTGTTTTCTCCAATACTTGCTTTGAAATCTAACTACGTTTTTAGGCTTGTATTAATTTTTCCCATTTCAATGCCTTCTTGAGGACACTGAAAAGGAATCCTTTTCTTAATTGATTTTTATATGTCCCAATCCCAGTCCACTTCCCTCCTTTCCTCCTGGTACCCTCATTCACCTCTGACCTCCCATTTGCTCGTCTGAGAGGGTAAGTCCTCCCCTACGATATCTACTAAGTCTGTCCCATCATCTCACTGAGGCAGGACCAAGGCACCTCTCCATTCCCACACCCCTGTGTCTAGGTTGGACAAGGTATCTCTCCATATAGAATGGAATCCACCAAGTTAGTTTGTGCATGAGTGTTAGATCTGGGACCCACTGCCAGTGGCTTTATATATTGTCCTAGTCGTACCATTGTCACCTATGTTAATGGAGTCTAGTTCGGTCTTATGTAGGCTCTGGGGTATCCATTTGAATTGTATCAACATTTGACACAGAAAGGGCTTGTGATTCCCAAGACTTTTGCTTAATATAGTTCAGCTGAGGAAAAATCATCAAATATAACACATTAGCAGTGACATAGAAAAATTGGAAGAAGATCCTTGTGTCTTCTTCAGTCTGTAAGTTCCCAGAAAGTTCCTTTTGCTTACTTTCTCCAAACTTATGATTCTTATTACAGTGAAACATGTCCTGCTTTCAACAGTCTCCTTTACTATTTTTTTTTTTTGCTCTGAGATTATGCTATAGTAAGAGTTTCTGATGACCTAAAAAGAAACCTCCTTGGAGAAGACTTCTTTGTCCAGCACACTGACAGGCAGAGGATGGAAGACTTTTGTACCCAAGATACGGACATAAGGAAAAGGCTTCTGTGACTCATGGCAAGTGTCCGTCCTGGTCATTAAGTGAACAGGTATGGTTGGGACAGAAGTTCCTTCTAGACATGATGGTGAGGGTGGGAAAGCAGTGGCAGGAGCAAATACATTGAGATACAAGCCATGCAGTTCTGGAGAAAGCTATCAGAAAGAAGAGCAGGAACCCTCAGTGATGAGTCCATTAGCTTCACAGAGTTGAGCTGCATTCAGAATTCAGGGTTCATTTCCCCTGTGAGCCTCAGGGCCCTCTCATAACACTGCAGGGCGTCCTGCATGTTCCCTTTCAGTTTGTGGACTAACCCAAGGAGGCCGATGCTCTCCACAAGTTGCACATTCTGGTGAACACGTCTTTCAGCCACTTTCTCCAAAGCTGTGAGAAGTTTTTTCCAGACAAAGGTCTTTTCTCCTATCTTTAGGCCTTTTAAGTAGTGGATGATCGCCTTGTCTTCTGATTTCTGATGAAATTGTTGGAAACGGCCATATCGCAAATGAATATCCTGCTGTATGTGACAATCAACATTCCTCATGTTCAGTGCCCTCTGGAAATTTGCCTCTGCTTCTTCATATTGGTGAATTTCTGCCTGCACTGAAGCCATGTATACATAAGCCATCTCAAATGTGGGCCTCAGTTCCACAGTCCTTTGAAATTCACCAATGGCCTGTTCTGCCAATTCCTGCAAATCGTCCTGCATTCTTGGCTGCCTGCTTCTGGATGTTATCAGTTCCACCATTTCTTGCTTGTAGCAGAGCCCTATTTGGTAATGGAGGTAGCCAGAGGCAGGTGATGCCTGCAAGGCCCTGTGTAGGAGTTCAAGAGCTGTGTCTATGCATCCTTTCCTGCGATAATACTGAGCTGCATGGCGAAAGACATAGGTTTGGCAGGATGTGCTGCTGAGGGCTTCTTCAATATATGTTTCTGCTTCAGCTGTTGCTCCTGAACACTGAAGCTTCAGGGCAAGGTAAACTTTAAGATATGGATCTTCTGGATTTAAACTGACAGCCTTCCTGAGGGGTTCCAGAGAAATATCATTGTCATCCCAGTCTTTGCGATAGGCAGCAACGGCATAGCCAGTGTTGTATTCAGGGTTTTCAGGCTCCACTTCCAGAGCCTTTGCAAAGCAGGCCATGGCTCGTCTATAATTCTGTCTTCCACACTTCAGCAAGGCCCAGCCTTCCTCACAGTCCATCTCGGCACAGTCCATCCTATAGCGGAAGGGACTTGCAAATTCCTTGCAAGTCTTCCCCACCTTGTCCAGGTAGGTCTGGGCCTCTGCCATGCTACCCATGTGGTAATGCACCCAGGCACAGTTGCCCCAGGTCACCAGGCTTCTCTTGTCCAGCTGCTCCCCCTGGATCAAGGCTTCTGCTTCCTTCATGCTCTGCAGGGCTTCCTCATGCTGGCCTTTCAGATGCCTCACATAGGCCAGCAGGTTGTGCATCCCCACTGGCTTCTTGATGTCTAGGAACTCAACCTCCTCTGAGATTCTCATTTCCAAATCAGGTATGTCAAGGTCTTCAATCAGTAGTCTCCATGTGAAGTGACATCTCAGCTGAAGCAGATTCTCCTTCATATGATCACCACCAGCATGGTCTCTGTGACAAGGAAGCAGGATGATTTGTCATGTGAAAAATGAGCAGAAATTGACACCCAGAAAAGCACATTTACAACCTCCTTCTCTTTTCTGGAAAGTCTGACATTTTGTTCCTTTAGAATGTTTTTTCATTTTTTTTTTCACATCAATCTCCTTGCTTCGTTTATTTGAACTGTCAGAGACTCTGTGAGCATGACATGCGCACACCCTTGGCCTTACAATCTTAAATGGTAAGTTAATCATTTCAGTCAAGACTGGACATGGTCACACAGGTATAGACACACAAACATACATGATAGACTCCTGCCTTGAGGTTTGGAACCCTAAAAACCCATTTCCCTTTTTTCACTGTCTTTGAGCCTTATATGTACAAGCACATGCCACTTAAACTGACCTTAATAGAACCAGCCCATGCTTTAAAAACTGAATATTGAGGAAAAATCATTGCAGAGTCTGCACTTTCACTTCAGACATAATCAAGGTACTGGTATGATGTTAGAAGTAGTCTCAGAACACAGGGACATGATCTCTGCCTTGTGACACCAGTGGCATGACTGTTCTCTGACCCTTTATCTCTGTGCAACTTATGTTGGGGGGGATGTTCTAGAGAGTGACTTAACTTAGCTGTCCTCTGCTAAAATGTATGGATCCCTACATTTTAAAGATGAATATACACATTTCATGCATTTTCCTGTCCCTATAGAGCAGTACAATCACTTTCCAAGTTGATGGGAGATGTCATTCTGTATATGTTTCTCATACTGGTTAATAATAAAGCACTGTTGGCCAATAGGAAAGGAAGATAGGAGGGACTAGGAGACAAGGAGGAAATAGGAAGTAGTAAGGAGGGGTCAAGATGGAGAGTCTGGAGAAAGCAGTATGCCGCCGGCTCCCTGGTAAGAGAAATACATAGATCAGCAGAAATGGGTTAATAATTAAAGGCAGAGCTAGCCGATAAGAAACAAGTAACCGGGCCAACAGCATTGTATCAAATACAGAGTCTCTGTGTATTATTTGGGGCTGGCGGCGTGGCGGCGGGACAAGACCAGTGGCGGCAGGCGGAAAAACCGTAGTCGTTACACCAAGTGTGTATCACTCATGCCTCACTATCACACCATACCTATCTGTGCTATTGGAATAATGTTAGTATTTTCCACACAGGACTTTGGGATGTAGTGAGACCACAAGTGTATAACATGATTTGCATTATAAACTCCATAAGTGTTTCTCACTTTTCTATAGGTGTCAAGGACATCATATAGACTCTAATCACTCATGGTTAGGATAGAGACCCAAGATCATAAAGCTTTGAGACATATCCATGCTCAGAAGGCATAAAAGCCCTTGGTCCTGTTGGTAGTTGTCTCTTCCAGAGACCAGAGTGGCCACTATGCTTAAATCATCTCACTTTGGTTTTCACCTGGCCATGCCATGTTAGGAGAATTGTTCTTACAGCGAATCCAATGTGCCAATAAAGCAACCTTGAATAAGACAGAGTTAGTGATTGCCAAACAGGGATTAGCCATTACATTGGTGGGAGACTCTGCAGGGTGACTAGACAGCAAAAAAAAAAAAAAAAAAAAAAAAAAAAAGAAAGAAAGAAAGTTGGGTGATATTGCTATTAGGGGAATTTCCAGGGCTAGATGTTTCAGGAAAGTGTGAAGAGAGGGTCTGATTTCCTTCAATTTTTTGTGGTCTTTACTTCAATTTCTGACTCCTGAGTTCTTATTATCATAGAGCAAATTAGGATTTCATTTCATCTACAATGCCAGGAATAGTAGATTACAGGTGTACTACCCATAACAGAGCGCACTAGCTATGTGCTCATTAAGGTTGTCCAATAGAAACAGACAGCCATCTAGACACTTCATGAATCTCCCAATTGGTCAGGTTATTTCACCCAATCCTCATGCCTCCATCCACAAATGTTATAAAAAACACACTCAGGACTATTGATGCCCTCCTCTTCCAGGTCCCTCTTTTACAAGACCACAGTGGTTTTCATCCTTTCTAATGCTATCAGCCCCTAATACAGCTCCTCATCTTGTGGTGACCCCCAAACATAAAATCATTTCATTGTCAGTTCCATACTGTAATTTTGCTACTGTTGTGAACCATAATGTAAATATGTGATATGTGACCCCCAGAGGGATGGTGACACACAGGTTGAGCACCTATAGGAACTTTGTCTTCTTTCCCTCAGTGACATTCTCACTAAATAATAATAATCTATCTGAAAACACTCTTCTGTGTTGCATTAAAATCAGTCTTGCGTAGCGGAAGTCCAGAACATAGCAACATTATTGAGGTTTAATAAGGATCAGGAGAAACAGATAGGCTGAATAGATGTTTATTCAGGGAGAAATACATAGACAGATAAACACCAGCAGGTTCCTGGTCCCAATGAAGCCTCTAAATGTTCTCCTATCCCCATGCTGCAAGCAAGAGAGCTCCTGGAGCTCCTTCCTCAGACTTAGTTCCCCCAGGTAACATCTGCCCCTGTCCCCACCCCCAATGGGTGTGGTCTGTGTCACAGGTGCGGACAAAGTGAATATCTTACTACACACCATTGACTGAATGGAAGTTTTGACTGTGAGCTTGGACTCACTGAGTCCTGAAATAAAATTTGGTTTAGTGTAGACACCTTCTGTCTAACTCAAATCCTATTTCCCTTTGCATGAGGTTTGTTTTAAATGCAGAACTTCCCTAGACATTATTGGCTTGAGGACCATCTAGTGCATGCAACAGGAACAGAACAGTGACTGAAATGATGTGACATTTGGCCAGGATTGTGTTTTCCCTTTTTACCTGTAGAAACTACAGATCCATGGAACCTTCCCAGTCAATGAAGAGCCCATTTCTCTCCTTCACCTGGCTTCTTTCAGTATGCGTGTCTTATACAACTACAGTTAAAGAACAAGATAGGAAACTGAGGTAGTTGCAACCACACAAGGAAACCTGTCATTTGTCCCCTTAATAATCAAACTTTTGAAACAGACATCCATCAGCAGATGCCAGTTCCTCTAACACTATTGCCTCAATTTTCTGCTATACCCTTGCAGGCACATCTGTAACCTCAAGCCCCTCACATTCTTAGCCTTGGCAACTGTAAACTTTGTCATTGTCAGTGTAATTAGTCATTTCAAGAATGCAATGGAAGTGGAAAATGACACAGAAATGGTTGTGGGATTTGTGGAAAATCAGTTACTGCAAGAGAATGTAGAAGGTTGAAGAAGGGTGGATTTTACCCAAGGAACACATAAAAGTTATAAATACAAAATGAACACTGAAAATTCTAAAATTATATAAGACAAATTAAAATAGAAAATAGTGGAATTATAACCCATATTCATGAGGTGGGGCAGAATTCATGTGGTTCACTAAAGGCCCATGCAGGGAAAGCTGTTACCTCCTAACTCATGGAAGAAGATGGCCCACTAGGTGGAGACCTAACCTCATGTCCTCCATTCAGAGCTCTTCTAGTTGGGAAGATTATTGAACTGGCTAATGATCCACTCTGGAAAGGCAAGTTTACGTTCAGTCAGGCTAAAGAGATAGGAGGAAAACTTATCCCTTTCATGAGCTAATAAATTTTTCCCCCCAGAATTTATTCTTCCCAGAGTGCAATTCCTAGCAGCTGCTGTGAGTTTAGGCTGGGCCAGCCTGCCTTTTTTGAGCCCTGACCTGGAAAGGTTTATCTATTCTGTCGATTCTCTCCATACTTCTGCTTTCTTACTCCTGTAAAGATCCCCTCCCTGACATGTAGCTGCTTGTATACCATGTGGCTGTCCTTCAAGAAGGTTCAATCCAATATGCATGCAGATTTCACCCCCTTCCCTTTTCTTCTGTATTCTCTTCTTCAGGGTATCTGCTGAGATTGACAGCTTGCCTGCTCTGGGGATTTCCATTTAAATTGCAATAAATTATCCTGGAGCCCCCCCCCCTTTCAGTCCTTTTCTAAATTCTTTAAAATGGGACTAAGTACCCTAAGAGAGTACCCTATTTTCAGCTTCTCAGGAAGATGATACCCTGACAGACCCACAGAATCAATGTAATCCTTATTATAGAAAAATGACATTTTTAAAACAAAGTTTATCACCCTTAAGTTGTATGATATCCCTAAGACCTTGTAATAATAAAACCAAATTTGAAAACTTAGAATTGGACTATCAACCTAAAATAATCAACTCATTATGGTGTCAGCATGAGTACCCTTGTAAAAAAAAAAGGCATATGTACCACAGGGGATGGGGTTACAAAGACCCAAGAGACAAAACATTAGTTGCATGGCTGAGCCCTTCTGCCTAGGCTGCCATAGGAAAATCCTATGGACACACACACTTAACCCAATAGAACTTTGGTTTTTGGTTTTACCTTTTTTCTTTTTTTTGTAATTTAGCAAGTTAGAAATCTCAGATTAAATTGCCTGCCTATATAGCACCTCACCTAGCCAGTGTCTCTTCCTGACTTGCAGAGGGCCACATGTCTGCTCCATTGTCATGTGACCTTACCTGTCTGTGACATGAACTCCGAGTGTGCATGTGTATGTGTTGTGTCTGTGTGTATATGTGTACAATTGCAGTAGGGCATGGGTTTTAAATAGATCTGGGAGATTTCAAGGAGGAAAAAGAAGTCGTTTTTTATCAATAACTAACTACGTTTTAGGAAACTCTCCTATACTGTTTTTCCCCCAGTCTTCTTTTTCATGTGGCATTCAAAGTGTGTGTGTGTGTGTGTGTGTGTGTGTGTGTGTGTGTGTGTGTTATTGCAATAACAATGAACAAAAGAGGGCCTGGATTTCAAACAAGACAGGGAGAGTATTATAAGGGGATTTCAAGGAAGAAAGAGAAAAAAGGGAAGGGATAAATATATTTAAATAATAATAATCTCAAATATGTAATTAAATTAAATCTCAAAAATAAAAATTTTATCTGGAAGAATACATTAAAGAAGGTTAAGAAAAAGAAAAAGTAAACATACAAAGAAATCATTTTTATCAATACTTAAGTATGATCTAGGGAGCTCTTCTAAACCCTGTTCTTTCCTCAGCCCTTCTCTCCATGTGGCATTTAAATTGTGTGTGTGTGTATGTGTGTGTGTGTGTGTGTGTGTATGTGTGTGCCAGTGTAGGGGGGTTTTTGGGGGGAGGTCTGTGTCTGTGTGTGTGTGCGTGCATGTGTGCGTGCGTGCATGTGTGTAAGAGATGCTAACACCAAGGCATGCATAAGGTCAGATAACAACTTCAGGCACTAGTCTTCACCCGCTTTTTTTTTTTTTTTTTTTTTTTTGAAAAGGAAAGCCAAGTGGTTTGCCTCTCTTCTCTCAGTAATAGCTCCAAGATTGCAATCCTCACACTGGCCTGGGAAACTTTACCCACTGAGCCACCTGTCTAGCACTGTTCTATGCCCAAGGGGAGCAATTGTGATGCTTCCTCCCCTCTTTCACATGGCATTTCAGATCTCTTGGAGAGTGGCTTGAGATGTGGGCCACTGAGAGAGCAGCACAAATGACCATATACGAAGCCTGTTTTCAGAGGAACACTGGCAGTCCTTCCTTCCCTAGGCTTCAAGTAATGGACAGAGGATGCTCAAAATGTCCTTGATGTACCAACCTGGAGAAGAGACAGGGAGGGCTCTTTGTTCACATCATCTAACCGTCATGACCTCTTGGCCCAAGTCCTTCTTGGACTAATCCATTCTAACAGATTGCTACTTTGCAATGAAAAGTTTCTATTTATGTTTATAATGATGTGGCCCTGGTTTAGTTCACTGTCATTAAACACAATTACTTGGATATTTGAAACGTGCCCCTGGGAATGTTTGGCAGTTGTTACCGTATTCAGGTCTTTACCTATAACATTTGGTAAGCCAGGCTAGAAAGAGATAAAAGTATAAGAAGTTTCTGTCCTCTCTCTCTCTGTTTCTGCCTGTTTCTCTCTATCTCTGTCTCTCTCAGAAATAACCAAATGCATGGGTAATCCTTTTCTGCACCACTTAGAAATGACGGACAAATTTCTGTTGGAAGATTAATCATGGCCCAGGGACATCCGATTCAATCCTGCTTTTCTTTGCTTTCCCTGCCTGTAGCAGCACAGAGTTAGAATTAGAGATTGTGCCCACCTCTTTTGGGAGATAAAGCCATTAGTAGGGCAGCTCAGAGCTCCTGAACACTGGTCACCAGCTGTCCAGGGAGATCTGCCTTGACTGGGAGGCTCACCAGGATCCTTCTGGGAAACTGTGCCCCAAAGGGGAGACAAGGGCCCATGTGCCTGAACTCTTGCAGCAGGAAATCTGAGCAGCCTAGAGGCAGTAGCCATCCATGTGGGCAACAGGCACAGAGGGCAGCCAGGACCCCTCTGCCCACATGGTTGCTCAGGATCCCTGTGCAGTTGCAGACCTCAGCCTTCCTCACACTGCAGGCACTCAAGTGCACACCACAGTCCAAGCCACCTGCTGGAGTGATGGAACTGTGAGACCCAGGGACAGCTTGTCACTGACCCAATGACTGTTACTGTCACTGACAGGTCCTCTTCAGCCTTTTGTCCTCTAGTTACTTTAGCTCCACACTCATCCACCACTGTGATCTCTATATTCTGTCTCATCGTACAATAGTATTTCTCAGCCTCCTCCATACTCATTTACTATAGATGGTCCTATGCATAAAACCAGAAGAATAATTAGAATAATTCCCCAAGTCAAGAGATACTAACTGAAGTACTAGCTTCAGTGCAAAACAGCTCTACTGACTGGTGCTTTAAGCCCGAAAGATGATTTCAAACATAAAAACCAGAGCCAGTCACATAAATAAGACCCCATTTGATGCCTAGTATTTCTTGTATTTAATACATGTTTCATATGCATTACATATATGTCATATGTACATATAGTTGCATATATAATATATGGCCAAGTATATTGCATATCTTGTTGGGGGTGCTTAAATACCTCTTGTCAGAAGGAATTATATTTCTGTTTTTGTTATTTAATCCTGGTAGCTAGAAAAATGTGTCCTGTCCATTGGTTAATTCAGCCAGGGATAGGTAACAAGGCACCTCGCGCAGAAACCTTGAGCAGCATCTCAGGAGATCTTAGGGTCTGCTGGCTACATCCCAGGACAATGAGGGGTTGGGGGGTCAGGAGCTGGAAAGGAGGACACTCTTACCAGCGGCTTCTTTTTGGAGTTACGGTGGTGGGTAGAACATTGCCTTGTCCAATCCTATAGGTGTTAAAGGTAACTGTCTCTCAGTGAGATATGCATGCTAAAATCTCACTTAAGTATTTTGAACTACACATATGAGACAGTCTTAAATACTACAGCAAGCTCCCTTTCATCTATCCAGCCCCATGCCCACACTACTGCCATTAAGCAAAACCTCTGGACCCTAAGGTCAATTAGCATTCTTGTTTCCTTTTCTTCAGCAAAAACAGAAGCAAAAGGAATATAAACAGATTCAGTCAGACCTGGCCACACACAAATGTCACTCAAACTGCAGAGCAGGGAAATCCTCACCCCATGGTTGCTGTGAAGGCAGCAGCAGTTGTCTGGGTTTTCACCAGAATAGGGCTCTTCAGAACCCTGCCTGGACTCTCCGCTGTCTTGTCAACTTTTTCACCAACTACACTCTGAGACAAGGGCGTAGAAACAGCTCTGTGAGCTGTGATGTGCTCTTGTAGTCACCAATAGGAATCTGAAACTGAAAAGTGAAATTAAATCCTACAGGTTTCTACTTTGGGAAATTGAAAACTAACAGGCATTGGTCTTCCTGCTCTCTCCTCTGCACCAATGTGGAGGAGGCTGGAAACAGACTGACAAGTCATTTCCACTCTATTGTTCAGAGAAAGACATCCCTGGAACCAGAAAATGCCCTTACATGGGGGTTGATGGAGGTGATGTGGATATAAAGGACCCAGACTGGCATCTTCACAACGCAATTGCTCCTCAGTCAAAAGGATTGAAGTTGTGCACTCTCCCTTTGCAAATGAGGCTTTACTAATAAGGCACTGGTAGTTTTAGGATTTGATAAGATGGCACAGGGAAAGTTTGGGGATAGAAGAGTCCAACTGCAGGTCAGGTCCCCTGCAGTCTGGAAGTGGTACAGCTTACTTGGTGTGATTATCCTAATGAACTCCTGCAGGTTCCAGTTGATCACATGGAATTTTCTTTCCACTCCAGGTTATAGGACCCAGGGACAGCCTCTTACAACTGCCCACTTTTATTTCTCTCTTGTTGCTTACTGTTGGAAAATTGTTACTTTTGTTATGAGTGCTGTCCAGATTATGGTGCTTAGATAACAGTACAGGAGCCTCCGGAGTCAAGAGGAGGCTGCTTCTTAATTTCCATAGTTCTAATATTAGAACTATTGACAAGAGAAAAAGGGGGGAATGAAAGACCAAAAAATAAAGAAAATGAAGGACGGTCTGACCTGGAAAGCTAACCAATATCTGTTCCTTGGAATTTGCTAACTTCCTCTCACAAGGCCCTGAGAAAACAAGAATTCACACTACCCCTCCTTTCCTGTGAGTCAGCAGGTGGTGAATAGGGTCCTTAGGAAACAAAGAGATAGCTGCAACTCTGGTTTGCCCAGAGAAAATTAATTAGCACACCCTGAGGCCCTAAGGTCTCTTGATCAACATAGCAGACCATCCGGCCTCCAAGAGTCACATACTCAATGGACAGAGGGTTCCACCCCCTCCCTAAGCCTTTAAAAACACCTGGGCCCAGGGGGAGGGGGATTCTCTCTAGCCTGCCTGTTGGAGGAGCCCATTTGCGCAAACGTTTCCTGTTCATTAAAGCCTCTTGCCTGTTGCAGCAGCTGGACTGGACATTGAGTTCTTGGGGTATAGACCGAAACTGGAAGACTCCTCATTCTGAGGGTCTTACAGTGTTCCCCGTTTTTATTTGTACTTTAATTATTCTCAGAACTTACCCTATACAGATCGGCATGTGTTTCTGTGCCCTTGTTTTTGTGTTTATTTCATAGAGCATCCCAGCCTCACAGCTACACTAGGGAGATCATTTGGAAGCAGAATGCTACAGAAATGTGAGGCGCAAGAAATGCTGCGCTGCCATGCTGATAACCTCTCTCATGGTCCTGTCTCTCTCTTAAGTTTCCTTTCCTTTGGGGTCACAGCCTGAGAGAACACCACAGCTTACTTTCTATCAGAGAGTATTTACAAGGTTGTTTCTGTTTCTGGGTTCACATTCCTAAATCGACATCACAAGAGTAGTCTTCTGCATAGCTGGCCCCGATTTAAGAGATAACTGTCAAAGAATTTCCCAGATTTCAGATGCCTCCCAGAAGGTCTGTAAACAAGCCTGGAGATGAGCTCTAGGCTCCACAGAGCACTGAGGGAGGCCCTACTGACATTCCCCACCAGCTTGCAATTTACCAAGCCCCTTCCTCAACTTTCTCTCCATCGAATCACAAATAACCCCTATAATAGGCCAGAACACACAGGAGAGACGTAGATATATTTTACGTCGGAGCTTGGAGACTTGATAATAGCCCAAAGTGTACAGTTATAAAGAGAGGCTTCAAGAAATTAGTTATGCGTTGTTGGAAAAAACAAGAAATCTCATAAAATATGACAAACTTTCAAAAAATGTACTCTTAATTAGGATTAAAACAATATAGCAGAAACATATTATATGTGATATCTAACATTTTTAAAATGGCAATTATGTTGTTTTACGTACACAATATATACTTATAATAAATAAGTGCTTATATACTAATATACTTTTATACTTATAATTTTAAATGATATTTAAATGTCACAATAATTTTATATTATTGTAAATATTTTACAAATGAAATAATATTTTTGTATATTGTATGAATTATAATACAAAAAGTTTCATATTAATTTATTATAAAAACATGAAATAGAAGAGGGGTTTTGTGTGTGTGATCTTTTTTCTTTTGCTTTATTGGAGAATGTACAAAATACAAGACAAGATGGCTAATTAGAAATATCATGGAGATTGTTCCCGGAAAACAGTTGTGAGTTGTAGAAATATACAAACTTTACTGGTCTGGAGTGCACTTGAAGTATACTGGTCATGAGTCCCGCATGTCCATTTGAGTATCCTGTACTATGAAGATGACTGAAGCCGGCTCTTCCCTAAGTCCTCCTGCGCTTATCTATGTATGGCACATCATCCTCTTCATCATTCTTCCTGGGTATTAATCTGACACTGAGTTAGCTCAAAAGACTTGTTTAGCCCTGAATTAACAGATGGATGAGGACTATGAGAAAGAGCTTGGAGTTGAGTTTAAGAGACATCATCAAGGATTAATGGATCTTTTAACTTGGTGTTAGGTGGTAGAAAACAGGACAAGATGGAAGACTGAAGACTCATTGCTAAAAGGTTCCAGATTTCCCTAAGGTCCAGTCTTAACTTTCATGTATGTGTATGTAGCAGGACTTCAAGCCAAAACACGGCTGATAACAAAAAACTGATGGGGAAATCTCTCCATATCCTGAGAAAGACAGCCCACCCACATCTCCAAGGAAGGAATAAGATTGACAGTTGAATTTTGGTTAAAGTTAAGAACAATAGTGTGTAAGGAAGTGGTGGGTTCCTAGGAGTGACAAGGCAGCTTAACACTGTATTTTGGTCAATAAAGAAAACCGAGAGATACGGAATAATGTGACGGTTTCATTTGTCCATGGATTCAGTTACCTGAAAGTCAACTGTGATCCTAAAATAGTAAGTGAAATATTCTAAGTATCAACAATCCCATTTAACCATGAAGAATTTTAAGTAAAATTAAAAAAAAAATTCAACTCTGTCCCACCCAAGATATAAATCTCCTTGTCCAGCATATCCATGTTGTATATGCTACCTTCTAGTTAATCATTCAGTTCATCTCATTTACCAGGTTGACCATGTTCATGTTCAAATAACCCTTACTCTACTTAAGAAACATTTAAAAGCAGTTTATGGTCCTTTTCATCCGTGGGGGATATTTTAAGGTACCATGAGTTTCTGTGAATGTCTAAGACCCTGGTTAGTACCATTTTTTTCTATATGTACATACACATGATGAATTTTGCCTTTCACATTAAGAAGGTGCTTGATGGCTTACTTAATTCTTAGAACTGTTGTTTTTGAATAAGAATCTGTGTTCCCTACTTGGAAATCAGATGCTTCTACTTTGCATTGGTCCACATTGCTTCCATCATCTACAAAGAAAGCATCTCATGTAGGTTGCTACTACTACTTAGAGCCATTGCTCATATTCATATAGAAATTGTAATCTGGAAGTTTGGAAGTTTTTCTTCAACACCTAGTTTGTACGTAAGGTGAATTAAAAACATACTTTAAAAAAAAAAAAAACTAAGAAAGAAAAATGAATTTTCTCTTGATACATTTGTGTTTTTGCTACAGAATAAGTACAAGTTTTTAACCTAAACTCCTTTAATGATATTCTCACTGAAGGGAGGTTCAGTATTCTATTTGGGAAACAATAGCTGAATCTTCCTCTTTGTAGATACAATCATCTTTTTTGGAAAACTTTTTATTTAGTATTCTGTAGTTGTTTATTGTACATTTAAATGGTCTTGTGGGGGAGCGGTCAGATTCTTGCCAGTTCCAAAGGAAATGTGAGAATGGCAAAGGCTGCTTATCATTATCCGTTTGCTATTTGGGTTTCTGGGGAAATAGCACTCTGTATGATTCTGATCTCAGGTTTTTTATATTGTATACAATGAGACTTCAGTTGGAAGAAAGACACTCTGGAGTCTTAAGGCAAGCACACGCTGAGTATCCTCTAATAGCCAGCATGTCTACATAGGCCAGACACTCAACACTAATAGCTATCAAAGTACATCTGGAGGGCTAGATGTTTGTAGAAAATATTAGAATTGCTTGCCTCATTCCCTGGGGAAAATCAGATAGGAAGTGGCCTTCAGGGACACTTTTCCTTAAAAAATTATAACATTAGTACAAGTCAAATCTTACAGATTTAACATTTGTTTCTTAAAAAGCAGCCCATAATATTAAATATAATTAGACATGTTTTACTTTTTTTACTCACAAGAACCGAGAACTTATGATGTGGAACGTAAACAAGGAAAATGTAAAAGATGACATGATTTTTTCTCTTAGTGGTGTTTGGGTAGTTGATGATGGAAAGTCTCAGCTTTGGAAGAACCCTATGAAATAAGTAATATTGTTCCTCTATAGGGAAGGACTGTGCCACATGGACACAGTAGGGAATGATGCAGTGAACTCATGACCGTGTAGTTAAGGTAGTCCTCTCTGCTTGGACATGTTGTATAAGCTGTATGAATCTTTGAGGTGGTTCCTGCAGGGGTCAGACAGGAAGTGAATAACTTGAAGAGATGAGAATGAAAACTGAGTTCAGATTTATTTTATTAATCTGGATCAGACTTTGGGAAGTCTAATGTCAGGCAGCTTATTTAAAACACATTTCGAGTTGTGAAATTGTTTCCAGGCAAAAATCAATCCCATTCCAGGTGCACAATAAAAGTTTACGGAACGGCTACTTACAAACTTCTTTACCAAGTATGTGTGGCCATGAGGGTGGGTTCTACAGCTAAAAGGCCTAGTTCTACTGACATTGCTATGTCAAGCAGCTGTTTTTAGATTTCTTGCTCTCTGGAATTATAATTATGCCCCTCCCTGTAGTCATAGTTTCCT